TTGTCGATGGCGCGGTGTTGCTTCCGCGCGTTGTTGCACCCGCTGCTGTGGCGGATGTTGTTACCTGCGCACGTTGTTGCTTCGCTGCGCGCTGTACTCGCTACTGTGGCGGTTGTTGCTGCTGGCGCGTTGCTGCTTCCTATAGCGCGTGTTACGTGCGCGCTGTTACAGTAGCCGCTACTGTGGCGGCGTCGTGGATACCGTGCTGGACGGTGTGCGGACTGGGGCAGTACCTGCAAAAGTGGAAATTAATTAACCGGGATTTATATCTTGAATAATTCCTAATGGATACAAAAGTAAGAAAATTCACAAAGAGTTATTCACCTGCATCGCAAGGTGCAAGTTACAGCGTATAACACACAATTTGATGTCCAACATGGGGGCCAATTAGTGAAGTGAAGGCATTTTTCATTACTTCACATAAAATTAAGATTATATTTTAAAAGGTAACTAGATTCGTTTTCCAACCAAATTTTTCACTGTGAAAACTTTTCTCCACAACGTTTTGTGCCTGTGAAAAAGAAAAGTTGTGCGATTTTCTCAAATCCTTTCCTGAGATAAAGAATATCATTGTCTTAACTCACAATAATTTACTAAAGTTTTACTTGCTAGATGTTAACGGAATAGCATTTAATGATCGACAAACCCTTAGAATGATAGACCGGATCGATAAAGTGAAAAAATGTAATTTTCACGGACATTGAATTTTTCTCATTTTCACTTCACGTTTCGTAAAACCAGAATTGGCCCCATGGTTTACTAAATTCTTCTATAGCAGGTCGATTTTAAGATAAAAAAATAAAAATAAAAACACACTTCAGCGCAACGTTTCGCACGATTTCGGTGACCCCCCGACTCACAGAAAATCATGCTTACCTAATCCAGTGTTAGCAGATAAAGGACTGTGCGCTGTACTTGCCACCCTGCGGTTGCGGACAAATGGATGTGTGGTGCTGCTGGAGCGCCAGATTGGCTTTCTTGGTGTTGCGGTTGCGGAGGGAGCGTGGAGTGCGACGGAGCTTCCGGCGCACAATAGCAGTGCGTCGGTCAGCCTGGGGGCGCTGACGCGAAACTGTGGAGCGCGCTGGTTCCTCTGCGAGCTCGTTCTCGCAACGTGCCGCTGTTGTGGTAAAGGTGTCGTTGTCCCGATGGTGCACGGATACGGGATGCGCCTTAGCTGCTCAAAACTCCCCGCTTCCTGCACTGGCACGTTTTAGCAGAAAAAAATTTGTTTTCGTTTTTAGTTTTTCTATTGTTTTAAATTTATTTTCCTTTTTTCACTTTATCGCATTAGAGCGCTTTAACTGTTCTTTTTAAACACTTTTCTATTAATTTTAATTGAAATTGTTTTATTTTTCACTGCTTCACTTTAACCGGCTGGATGAAAATAAATATATGTTTAATTTTTTTCCGGCTGTTCCGCACTTCGCTGTTGAATGACATACCAATGGCCGATCGTGGGGTTGCCAGCGGGTTTTTATACCTTTGCACTGCGGGAA